ACATTGTCTCGGGTTCTTCGATAAAGCTGACCCCGATATCCCTGCTGAGGATGTCGATATTCTTGATAGGCGGTTGGGTCTGGTATTTGAGCGGCCTTGCAATGATTCACTGCATCCCACACTTCCGCCAGTGTCCCTCCACAGCCTTCTTCAAGATGATCGTGTTCGAAAACCACGCGTAACAGAACGGGCCCGACTGGCAACGGCACTGAGTACTTGTGTCCTATACCTTCATGCAGTCGACTGGTTACACAAGGGCCTTCGGAGCCGTAATATTCTCTTCTTCCGTACTCGCACCGGGACCGTCGACTATGGTCAACCGTATCTCTCTGGGTTTGACTATTCACGCCCGGGGGGCTCGGACGAGATGACAGACGTGCCTGGAGATGATGCAGAGCATGACTTGTATAGACACCCGGATACGCAGACAAACAGGAGGAAGGAGAGGCAGCGCTCCAAGAAATGCTTTGACATTTACAGTCTGGGAATTATCTTTGTCGAGTTGGCTCATTGGAAGACGGTTGACAAGGTCCTTAAGATCGACATGCGAAGGGCTCGGGGCAAGCCAGAAATTTTGCGACAAATTCAAGACGAGTTGCTTGGTGATGAGCGAATGGCAGATGTTGGAGGTGAGATGGGCGAAAAGTTTGAGGATGCGGTTAGGACTTGTCTTGGTGGGGGGAACAGACTCGGACTTCACCAAGGGCGTGAAGATGCGGCCGAGAAACTATCGACAACATTTTACGAGAATGTTGTCAAAAAACTTGGGCAGATTGCGGTGTAGGGAGTCGGGACGCATCCAAGGACTAGGGCGTGAATGATGCAGACTAGCTGGCAATTGGTTGTGATGCCGCTATTCGTTTCTCAACGGAATAGCCATGTTCATAATAATATGACGAGAATTCCTACAGGGCCTCGATGTGCGGCCCAACTCGGAAGAACCGGATCAAAGCACCGCTGTCAGTTATCTGACTGTCTGTGCAGTGTGCAGGTGGATCTCAGAGCTTGGAACTCGGGAATTTGGGTCCAGAGCAGTCAGGTGAATTAGGTGATGCTTTGGGATTGGTGCTACATGATATAATTTCAGTGCATAATCAACCGCATCCTGTTTCTTCTGCCCCGGCGTCATGCGAAGGGCAAGCAACGTTCGCCTCTGTCCTTGGGCCAGACCTGGGTTGAGATCTGGCAGACATGATGCATCTGGCATTTGCACAGCCCCTCCCGAGTCCTCTCCTCTCGCCACAGCGACTCCCCAGTGCCGACTCCCGGAACCCCACACTCAGCTCGCATCTTGATATCGGAATCAAAGTCAAATTTTAGCAGCAGCATTCGCAGCACTCGAAGCAGCAGAGGCCGGCGCAAAGGCCGCAGCAGATGGCCTGTTTCTGGGTCAGCATTGGCCCATTCGCACTTCAAGTAAAGGCTCAAGCGCGATGTTTTTTTTTTCTAGGGGGAAGGGGATGCCGACAGGCATTGCACAAGGAAACGCCGCAGTCAGTCGCAAGTGGAAGCGGGCGTGGCTGGTCAAGGCGATGATGAAGTGCGTCACGGACGAGACAGATGGGATAAGCTTACCTCGCCTTCCTCGCCGCCGCCTCGGAGGCGCATGGAGTCAGCAGACATGGGCTCAACAGGGCGCTGCAAAGTCGACTGTCAGCGGAGGGTTCGCAACAGATGCTGTGGTCACGGTGTAAATTGATAGCTATTCATGTGGCCAACGGGACGAGCCGACTTGGCAACAATGAATGGCACGGGCAAAACAACAAGGCTCGCGGCGCAGAACGTACGGGCTGCTCAGTGCTAGTTCGGGACTCGGGAACGACCGCGGGAGCAGGCTCCTGAGTCATCTGTTGTTGCGTAGCAGGCATAGTTGGCTTGATATGAGGGCTTATCGAGCGATGCTATAATATTGAGCGTCTGGGAAGCGGAGGGGCAGCGATGACGACGTGACGTATGAATGTTGGAGACTCGAGCACACAAGCAGCGCGCGGGAGTGGGATGACGGGCCTTTTAAAACCAACATCAGAAAGCTGGATGAACGGGTGGTCGGATTGGCCAGGGGCCCTTTCCCTTCTACGTAATTCGGACTATTCGCGTCTGGTTTGGGAAGACGGAAAGGATGGCGGCAAGCTTCGACTCGCGGCGTCGCGCCTCCCGTTGGGGACGACACAGCCTGCTTGGTACCACTACGTATCAGACTTGCCAGACTCGGTTGGCGATCGGTACTCGTACGGGGGCTTATCAGCTCTGCTCTGTACGATGCCAATTGCAGCCGGGACTACATGGATGACGGGAGGTGAGGATGGGTTCTGGCCATGGCGGTGCTGTGGCGTCGGCACAAGACTGCCGAGCTCGTACAGCTCCAAGAGTGATGGGACGGAATATTTATGGAGAAGACGCATCATTGTGTTGGTGCACACACTCGCAACAATCGGCCTTTTGTCCCTTGACCGTTTCAAGAGGGAGCAGGGTGGTGCGGGAGCTCAAGCTGGGCCGACGATTCGCCCAGTGGCATCGTGGGGTGAAGCCACGTTTGGGACGCGATGGTTGTCATTTTTTGTGCGGATGGACAATGATGGTTCCGCATGGTTCTTGATATATCTCGTCGCAACTGCCAACGACCCTGTTTCAAGTTTCGAAAACACACACACACACGCAACGAGCCATCAGACTTATTGTTCCTATCCCTGTGTCCACGACAGCCATTTGCTTTTTTGATGCCGAGTGTCGCATATTGTTATTGTTCCCCCACAGATTGGAGGTTTTGACGTCCAGGGCTTTCGCGCCCCCTGCCATCGTCCCATGGGCCTTTCGGAACATCGGCACCGGCCAAGCCTCCCCCTTTTCCTAATCCATCATGGCGCCGGTGACGACAGTCTGGCGGTCCCGGCCCACGGACGCTGACCCTGGGCGTGGGCTTGGGTTTGGCGGGCAAAAGGCTCGGAGCGCAGGAGGCGTGCACGACACGTCCCTGGCCGATCCAGGAGCAACAAAATCCTGGTTGTGCGCGTCCATGTCCAATCATGACTGGTTACTCCGTACTCCGTACAAGGCCCGGACTTGCGGGTGCTGCGTTGTCATTGTGGCTATGAGTCGTGCTGACTACGTTGTGCGCCGGCCAGACGGTCGTGTCGGCCGGTCTGTGGGCATGGGACTCGGCCGGTTTCCGAGGGCGTTTATGCGTTTTGCTCTTGATGACGGAGGAAGGGTGCAAGCCTCTGATTAGCCGCCCTGGATGGGGATTGTTTTGAGCTCGCTGACAGAACGTTGCGATTGGGGGCTTGGTGCTTCTACTACTGCGCAACGATGGGTGCGGCAAATCTGTTGTAGGAGTTGGGAGATGTCGGGTTTTGGCGGCTGTGAGTTGTACGAATGAGGTGAGTGGCCAAGTTGAGGTATGAGCGTGAGCTATGGTCTTGGTATTGGTTTCATTCATTACCCGAAGTCTTTTCTTATACGTCTGACCGTTGGGAGCCATTTACTGATTCTTGAACTAGACATATCTTTTTTTATAGTAACGCGAAACTCTACGCCTTCTGCCACCCATCGACATGCGTCCCACTCATTCGGGTAGACTATCCGGTAGGGGAAATCACCCGTCAGTCATCAGCTCTGCGTCTCAAATTGCTGGCTTTTTTCACCAATGGCACGAAGTCCTATTGATCCTACGGAGCGTCTTGGGGAAATCTGGGGCCCCAGAGTCCATGTTGAAAGATTCTATTGACTGGGCCTCACACAGCCTTGGGCGCAAGGTGAGACCTCCTCTACTTGTCGGGCATACCTCGACGTCCGTCAAAGATAGCCAGGGCGCGGGCTAGATTTCGGTGCCTGCTGGCCTCGAATTCATGCCCTACAGTGAACGGCAGTCCCGGCCTGGCCAACTTCAAAACATGGCGTAGGTGTTCTTCCGGCCAAACTGTGTATAGAAATACTGTTGCTAGTTGTGGCACTGGGTTGTTACGCCTTCGAATTGACTGCATGCCGACAACAAAGCTTGAATATACCAGGCAAGTTGATGAAAGATGGGTGCCGAAAGACATGGGCGACACGATCGGCCTTTATCAAGATGAATACATATACGGGTGAACATGTCACAAATCCCCGGAAAGCGATACTTATTGGGCAGTGACTGGAGTCACCATTACCGTCAACTGTATGCGTTGGAGCCATGTCGAAAACACCAAGCCAAGATTCAAGAACCAGATAGCTAAGCCAAATGAGTGTCGGTTTTATTTCGTTGCAAAAACCAAAGAGTCTCAAAAACAAAACATGAATAATAAAGAAAGACGTGTGACAAAGTCCCAAGTTGCTGTCGGCTCCAAACCGTCCCTGTATTATATGCCCCATCCCGCTCACATTCTCCTGGTCCTTGCGAGCGCTCGGTGCAAAGTTGCCACAAGGCTCATAGATACACATTGTAAACTTCAGGCGTGCTGAAGAAATCGATGGTGAATTCTGGTGGAGGATGCGGTGATATTTCGGACCGAAGCGGGCGGTTTTTGCAATCTTTTTTTACTTCTTTTTGGCCAGACGGGTTTTTGTCACAGATACACAGATACGTGTCCTGCCACTCTGATAAATCTCCCCTGGAAGCAAAGTCGATGGAACCGGAGCTTCGTATGTAAACTCAATGTCGTCATGGTGTGAGCAGTCTCGCCCCCAACCAACCAACCAGCCAACACAATATAGCGCGGACAAAAAAGTATAAACGACAACATGTTAGAAAGAAATGCATGATTCAAAATGTGCACAACGACCAACACGGAGGTATCTCCTTTTGTGCTGGGTGGCAAGTGTTTCGTCGTGCTCGGGAAGGGAGTCGACGATGCGAAAGATGGGCTCTGAGCAGCGAGCCAGGCCCTCCGTATGTTCCCCGGTATGAGCAATGAGCAAGTCATGATGCGAAGGCTACATCTAGACAGATTCATTGTCTCTTTCGACATGGCGTCGAAAATGAAGGGACTTGAGAGATGCGAGCATGATCGTATGTGTCACCCTATTCACTGGCGTCGATTCGCAAATTTTCTTAGATACGCAGGGTTTGATATCAAAACTGCAAGTCTTGGTCGTGATGGATCGACATTGGGTCGCAATTTGCGAATCTCATCAAATAGCATTCCTACCACATCGGGCTCACCTTGAAGATCGATGGAATGTTCTGGTGTCTGGATGGGATTAGTACCACTATGCTGCGGTAAGAAGGCACAGCAACTCGACATTGCTACGTAGCATTAGTCAATACTTACAAAGCTCGTTTGCGGGGCGGTATATGTAGTCTCGGAGTCCTTCTGCTCCTGCTTCTGCTCCAGTGTACGTTTTAAAGTCCTAATCTGGCGGGGAACTCCATGTGCGAACTGATAGAAAATCTGGACGGGATTAGTATCCCCGTGCTGCGGTGGGAAAAGCAAGATTCGTACTTGAACTTGGTACTTACATTGCTCAGCAGCTCATCGCTGTCATTCCTAAGCCGGTCAATGAACCCTTGAAAAAGGTATTTCCTAATAGCACGGAGTTCTGGGTCCTCCCAGTCCTCCAGTTCTCCTTCCTCCAGTTCTTCGCCCTCTAGTGCTCCGTCCGCTCTCCTTTTTAGACCTTTAAGCAGGTGAATCTAGACGAGATTAGTACCACGATGTTGCGGTCGAAAGCACGATTATGACTGAAATTAGTACTTACAGAGTCAAGTAACGCCCTGTTGATACATTGATACACTTCGGTTCCGTGCATGACATGCACCCGCTCTGCGATGCGGACTACCTGTAGACGCCATTAGTCATAGTGGCACTATCGACTTGACGTATTATTTGTAGTTTGGGGTTGGCACTTACGGGGAGAGGGTCGTCCGTCTCAATGTTCGCCAGCAGGCCGCGAAAGTATCCGTCCAAGAAGGACAATGCCGAATGATGAGGGTCATCATATGCTTTCAAAAAAAGGACACCACCTAAGTTTTTGGCGACCAGATTCTTCAAGGCTTCCGCAAAAGTTGCATGATGCTCATTATTGGGTTTCATCCTGGCACTAGATGGCCACGCCTTTGTTTGTTGGTGGTAGACGCCAAGGTGAGAAAGAGCCAGCTGAGTTGCTGCGTCAGTCCGGACCAAAAATATCCGTCGAGAGTGGACGATAGAGAGCAGGAAGACCCAGCGCAAATGCAGGCTGTAAGCTGTAGGCTGTGTGAGGTTGTGTCGAGGGAAACTCGAATCCTAGACCAAGGTTTATTGAATTGTTGAAAGCAAAGGTGAAGATGAAGGAGATGAAGAATGAGCCGAGGTCTGGCTCCCCGTCGAGGTTTATATACCTGAATCCCCAGTAATATTCATAGCCTTAGGGCAGAGTGAGGAGCTGCATCAAATCATGAATAATGACATCTCCTGTCCCTGTTCAGATGCTGTTTATCAACTATCCGCCGTCGCAGCCACAGCCTCACCACGCAACCGGTTTGAACAAAGGGCCACCTCCAAAACATCAGAAGCGACACAAACGAGTCCTGGGCCTAGTCGATTTTCACCGGACTCTGAGCATAATCAAATGGTCAGCAGACCTCGTCCTTTGGTGCTTCATCATACATCCCGTCTGCATCAGATGGAAACTGGGTCCTGCACAGGAACAAAGCGCCGACGGAAGGGGGGATCACAAGCTCGCTTGCAATGAAAGCAGCCCCGTCCTCTCCATCAGTTCTTACCAAGATCAACACGGGTTGCGCCCGTGTTCAACTTTTTCTCATTCACCACACAAGCTCGCGGCCATGTCAGAGGACCACAGCTCGCCATGCATGGCGCCGCGCCGTAAACATACGACTCCCCTATGAACAGCCAGCCATGTTCAGAAACCGGACAAAGAACGACAGGAACACAGTAGCCACCAACGAGGGCAAGGTGGCAAGCAAGTCTTCTTGAACCACGGTAGCCCGCCGGGACCTCTTCCCAGGATATGATACGGCCTTGTGAGCGCCTCCTGATAACGCATCAGTTCCTGGTTCCGGCGATGCCGTGAAGGAAGAACAGCCGGCCGTCGTTGATAAATCGAACATTAGGTTCTCCAGGCTGGCTCTGCCTCCCCGCCGCCTGGCCAACAACGTATATGGCCTGCGCAGGCGTCGGGGAGAGGCTCTCGAAAAAGTCCACTAGACAACCTGCGAGAAGCTGGGACGTATACGTCGCTGATGACCACTTCCAGTCCGCCCTCCGTCGGTCTGGGGACGGCATCTGTGTCGAGGCGCTCAATCAGAGCGTGTACTCGGCACTCGCTGTCGTGACGTGGCTTTTCTGTGTCCCTTTGTAGGGCACACTCTGGTCCGGCAGCGAAGCACGCCTGGTAGAGATGGTCAATGGAGCGCTCAATGTCTTCGATATTTTGGCTGCAGCCCCGTACCGTTGTCAGACTGCAAACATCGGATCCGTAAAGCTGTAAGGAGCAGGCATACGCTGGCGATCCCGGTTCGCCCAGAACTTCAGAGCCGAATTGCCGCAGTCACGCAGTCCCATCAACAGTGATTGTTATATAAGTGTAGGCTCGCATGACGACATGTGTAAGCAGATAAAACATAATCATTAGTCGCTGCATGATGCTGCCTGTTCTCACCACCGTACACATTCTTCATGGAACTCGTACTTGTCTCTCCAATTGCCCAGCTATTGCCCCAGCCTCGCCCACAGCTCAATCAACGAGCCAAGCTGGCCCTCCACTTCCTCCAAAAGCGGCCCCGAATTCCTCGCAAGAGCTTCCTTGACATTGTCTGGCTGCGGAAGCACAAACGACACGGGCAAGTCTGGCTCTATGGCTTCCACACCCCAGCCGTGGAGGTACCGCCGCGCAGACTCGGGAATGGTCTTCCCCATGGCCCATGCAAACGCTTGTATGCCCTGCAGCAGGTACCCCAAGACCTTCATGCGGTTAATGCCCTGCTGGGCAATCATACAGGCTGTTGAGAAGGCCGGATGAGTGGCCGAATCATCCAGGAGCGGGATGAGGGCGTACATGCAAAGGTGTATGTGGCGATATGCAAGACCACCCAGGGATTGCCATTTGTTCATGTAGACCCCTATGAGCTCCACGTCGGCGATGCAGCGTTTGCGTAATATGTCTCTGACAGTTGTCCCAGGGAGATCGTAGAGGTTGTGAAACGGTGTGTCGAGGGGCACGTCGCGAAGAATGGTGAAGATGATTTCCGTTTCGTGCATTCTTGAGAGCTTTGAGTTAGGGCTTAAGGAAATACAAGTGCGTGTTTTGGGATTTATTATACCTTTTCATACATGTTTCCGGTGTCATGTTGCTCCAACAGTGAAACCTGGGCGGTAGTTGAGCTACATAAGCCAACAACCTACAGTAGAAGCTCTTGCGGATACGCAAGTCGCTATCACTTCCGGTGATGGCGCCTTCGCAGACGTACTGCATCAGTTCATTCCAGAGCTCAGTTAAATTACAATTTATGGTATTGATTCCCGGAACCAAGGGGACAGCACTGGTGGCTTCGTCATACAAACGGCCCAAAACATCCATGTTGGCAGTACCAAATTCGTCGGGCGGTTTAGGCACCTTTGGCGCGGGTAAAATGGACGGATGGGAATAGTAAAAGGCAATTCGACTGGTAGTACTTAGCTCATGGTTTTTTTTTTTCGCGAAATTTACAACTCACCTTTCCATAATGTACAAACCCCAAAGCACGCGGCTAATGATACACTTCTCCTTTTGGCTACCAGGTCTGCTCTCAAGGGCCTGAAACTTCTCCTCCAACGACAGCCTGCTGAGCAGAGCATACGCCGTGTAAAGATATATTCGGGATATCTTGTCTCTACCTTTGATGGCCATCGTGAGGTACATAAGGACGAGGGCGACGATGTTGGGGATCGACGCACAACCTTGTTCCCGTTCATATAGCCCCTTGGCCTCTTCAAAAAAGCGATCTGAGAGGTTTTGTTTCGCAATGACTCCAAATTGCTTTGCTCTCTCAGAAAAGTTCTGTTAAATTAGTTCAATGGTCTAGTATCAGAATCAGGGGAACTAACACTTTCAACCGCACAGATGGCATTGACTAGGAACGGTGTGCAATATCTAGAACCAATTACATGTCCAGACTTCATATCCTCGATAAAGACGTCTTTTTCGAGAACAGGGAGAAGATAGGTACCATTGAAATGAAACAGATTTGTGATGAGCTCAGACACAAGCCCGTCGCCCGCAACAATCGTCCACGGTCGAGCTGGAACCTTGATAATGCTCCCATCCAGAGCCAGGCGATCCAGCCGTTCCAGCTGATAATTGCCGTAAGTCTCGGACGGTGAAGGGTTCGGGAACAGCACCTCAGCTTGTCTCACAGCTTCAAAGAGAATGAAGGGTTCGCCAGACTCTCTGATGTGACGAAACAATTCCAACGCCTCATCCCAGGGCTTAGTACATAACAGCTGAAATAGCTCCCTGTACTGGTCATTCTCACTCATCAAGTCGTCTCGCTTCTGCTTGAGCACGCTAGTCAATGCCTTACCCCTTTCAAGCTCATAAGTACACGACTCGCCTCTACTGTGGCAGCGTTTACAGGTTGGTCTAGAGCCATTGCACTACCTCTCTAAGCATCCACTCGTATCTCAGAAACAGTATATGGGAAGTTTTGCCAACTCACCTTGGCCTTTCGTCGCCTGCAATTCTGGCATGCGACACTGATCATCGCCCGCTTGGGTCTGATGAAGGCACGGGGCGGAGTTGACCAGTTACTTTGGCCATTGGACGGCGCGGACGGCGCATACACCGATAGCTTTGGGCAGATGGGTAATTGTCCTTCCCCTGACGGTTGCTTTGAATTCATCATGTCAAGGTTTTGTGGCTCAGAAATGTTGAAGGTTGTAAAGAGGCTTCGTAGCATTCGGAGCTCAACTTATACGGGGCATGGAGTCGAGTGGTTAAGAAATAAAGTCGGTGCCAGAAAATTTGCGGTCTGGCGCTTTCGACGTTTCCATTGCAGGTACCAATGGAAAAGCTGTCCTAATACGGAGTCAAAATTCTGGTGAATAAAGAATGACAAGTCGACGGCATCAACGGCTGCAACTGCATGGCGGTATCGAATCACGTCGAGGCGGAAAAGACGTCCGGTCCTGCGAGAAGACCCCCTGGCTGCTGATTTCCAGGTTTGTGAATCGTCGCTTTAGATCGATAAATGCGATGTGTCACATCGGCTTAACGTAACGGCCAGCCCTGTTGAGCAGCCAGCTTACCATGGGGGGAGCCAAAGCCACTTGGAGAAGCCTCTAATCGCCTTACATATGTATGTATAGCCCTTGCTATACTACGACGTTAATAGACACACAGCCATCTCAGCACTTGATATTACGACATGTCATCAAGGCGCATCCTTGGAGGAAACTCAGCCGCAAGCTTCAAAATGCCAAAAGAAACCCGCCCATTCTCAAGGCTTTTATGCATCCAATCACAATGGTTCTCGTATCTACCCACCAGCCTCATCAAGAATTTGCCCATGAGGAGACGGGGCGGGGATTGAAGGAAGCCGAAAAGTGCCATGGGAGACAGGATTCCTAGATCCTTATCATGACCCGGCATTGTGACCAACTGCCATGTGCATCCCATGTCCGGGTTGCGGCCCGTATGGCTGGTGAGGCTGTTAGACACGTCTTGCAGAATCGGCATGACTGGCACGGAGTACTGCCGCTGGATGGGCTGCTAAGGCATTGGTGGCAGTGGTGGTTGCATGTAGTCGCCCTGTTCTGGGCCTTGCGGTTCGACGTTACGTGAAACCACTCCGAGTCTCTTACTACCCTTTCTCCCTATTCTGAGAGGCGTGGAAGATGGTCAGGATGTCGATATCGATGACGGCAATGCCCTCGACCGTGTCGCCGGAGATGGCACCAATAATGGCTTTGCTGCCATCAATTCCGTTTCTGCGGCTCCTGATGCCATTATTATTTATTAGCATTCCTGGTGCTCCCTCCGCCACAACTTCCTGTTGATGCTGCCTAAGTTTTGTCATCGATTTGTGCCAGGAAAATGTTGCCAGGCGTTGAAATAAAGTTGTCGTCTGTGCAAATGGCGAATTGATGGCGTAAGTCCTGGTGGTAGTACGGCGAGACCATTTTGGAACGCGGCGGTACTCGGACAAGTGAGATCAAAGTATATATTGCCCATGTCATTCCTACTGCAGTCACTGCCAAGGGGACTACAGTGTCATTGACCATAACAGAAATGAGTCGTTCGTTCACGGTGTCCTAGAGGGTGAGTTGTGATCAGTCAATACCCGTATTTTCAACCGCCATTCTACGAAGGGCAGGAATGATGCAAGGGTCAAGCTGGCACAACTCACTCGAGCACAAACCGTATCGGGTAGGCAAGTCTATCTCCTATTCGGGCGAACATTGAGGACCTGTCGAATGCCATTACCACCCACGCATCAAAACTTCTGCCAATTTTGTTATAGTTGCCGAGCTGTTGTGAAAACGGAAAGCGAACTGGCCCCAGACGAAGTTGACGTCCTCGTAGGTGACGATTCGCTCAACAAGGTTGTTCACAACATTGTTTCAGGGGCAGCCGAGATAGAGATGCAAGGAAATCCAGCGGTGGGTGGAACTTGGAGAGTATGTTGTTGTCTACCTTAGAGCAGCAGAGCTCGACGTCAAAAAAGAGCCACGGATTGCTGTTCAAGTTCAGACCGGTAGAGAAGAATAGGATGAGAGAAGTTGTGACGGAGGCCGAGAGCCTGAGAAAATTTCATCGTTGTGATTCCAGTCCTACTCCATCCTCTGCGCCACATTGTCGATGGTTGATATCCAACTATTGAGAGCTCTAATCAGAGGCAACTATAACGACAACTGCAGCTGGTGAATAAACGTGAAGCGCCATATCAGGTCCACCATGGCTCCAATAGACCTCTATGCATTTTACCGAGATTTGAAAACGGAGGCTGAAGTATCTATCCTCCAGGTGGTTGATGATGACGGACGATTGAGTTATCATTTCATGAGCTGGAACGTAATGTGCACTTGGTATCAGGGAAACATTGACGCGGCCTGCTGTGTAAGGAGCATAGTCAGGCCCCTAGTTGATACGAATTGCAGGAAAATGGTCGTGGGAGGCTTTTCAAAGCTAAAAAAGAGCACGAATGTCTCTCAGGGGGCAAGATGATTGGCGTAGTTGTTCATGAGACTCACGAGGTTGCGACAGATGAATGGGGAGAGGCGAGTCACGTGTGAAGCTTTCGACAAACGTGAGCTGCCGTGATCACTTGACAGCTCGGAAGTTGTGAGGCAAGTGCCATCGATGCCTTGGCTGCATTCATTTTCATCAACTGTTACCACAGGCTGCGGCAGAATATATTTGCCGACCAAGAAGTCGATATACACTAATATACATACTGTAGTGTCAATAGTAGAATGTAGAGCGCGACGTATAGATAAGTACGTAAGTAGTTAGGTCTTGGGAGGTACCTAACCTGGTCAAATTCCTGGGCACTTTTTCCCCCAGTGTAGATTTTCGCAGCAAATACCTGAGGCACTTGCATGGACAGGCAATTAAGCCCAAGTTGGACGACACTGTGCGTCGCCTCAGTCCATCGACAGATTTCAACTCTTCCAAAAGCTGGCATCTCCAGATTTCAGGTCCCGCTCTTCAACAAGGCCGGGGAGGTCTAGCCACGGGTTTGGTCTATCTCAAGGCCCCGAGTTGCCGGCCCACTGGTGCCTGAGCAAATTCGCCCACTGGTCCACAAAGTTTCCCATACGCTTATCGAACTGTGGCTCCCCAAGACCAATGAGGCTGAGGCGTCTTGTGCCAATCATTCATGCGTGACACCCAACTCTGTGCGTCGACGTCAACACCATCAATCCAGTCTCAAGAGACTGTCCCGTGTTGAAAAACGACACCAGCTTTTTTCCATCATCCCCTATTTGCCAATGTCTTGATCGTCTGCTTGTGCGGCTCGACGCTACTCTCCTGAAACGACAGGGAACTCATCACCAGCCCGGCCGTCCGCGTCATCCTACTGTTGGTTTGGCTGAGTTGCCTCGCTTCCCTCCAGTGCAGGCAATCTCGAATTTGCTTGCGAGACCAAACACCGGCTCGAATCTCGACATAATGGCCTCCTACGGCTATCAAACCGCACCTCACCAGGGCTCGAGACATGCACAGCACGGAGGATACGCGCCGCAGGCTGCGCCGTCGCACGGCGGTGCGCCCGCTGGCACATTCTCCCCTGGCACCAAGATCCAGGTTGGCAGTCATCGAGTCGTTATTCAGAAATACCTATCAGAAGGAGGATTTGCACATGTCTACTTGGTCAAACTCTCCAAACCCATCGACGGTACCGATCTGGCGGTTCTTAAGCGTGTTGCTGTTCCCGACAAAGAAACGCTGCGGGGTATGCGTACCGAAGTTGAGACCATGAAACGACTTAAAGGACACCGACCGATCGTAACATATATCGATTCCCACGCTTCAGAGCTGAGAGGTGGCGGATATGAGGTTTTCCTCCTCATGGAGTATTGTGATGGTGGCGGCTTGATTGACTTTATGAACACACGCTTGCAGCATCGATTGACGGAACCCGAGATATTGCACATTTTTTCCGATATCGCTGAGGGCGTTGCTTGTATGCATTATCTCAAACCTGCCCTCCTACATCGAGACTTGAAAGTTGAAAATGTCCTCATTGTGAACCGCGGGTCGTCGAAGCGGTTTAAAGTATGCGACTTCGGATCCTCCGCCCCTCCACGAGCTGCACCGACAACCGTAGTCGAGTGTCGACTTATGGACGAGGACCTTCAGAAACACACAACACTGCAATATCGAGCGCCCGAAATGGTTGATGTATATAGAAAGCAACCGCTCAACGAAAAGTCGGATATTTGGGCATTGGGTGTGTTGCTGTATAAATTATGCTATTACACAACCCCTTTTGAAGATCAGGGACAGTTGGCTATATTGAACGCCAGTTTCAAGTATCCTAGTCATCCTGTCTTCTCGGATAGACTGAAAAAGCTTATTGGTATGGAGTTTGGTCTTGATTTCCAGCAAGATTTTGTTACGCCAAAAATACTAACAAGCCTCAAGGGTCTATGTTGAAAGAGAACATGCAGTCTCGGCCGAACATTTACCAAGTCCTAAAGGAAGCATGTGCCATGCAGGGCAGACAAGTTCCCATACACGATGTAAGTCGCTCCCTTAATGATGTTACTGTTCATACCTAACGTGGCCTCAAGATATATTCGGGCCAAGCGAAACGAGAGTCGAGACCTGCAAGTCAACCATCACCCACCAAGTCTCAACAAGGCCATCAAGGAGCCGTCGTGGGTGCAGTATACTCGCCACCCGAGCAAGAAGAGCACAATGTCCCTGATATCGTGCCCATGCGACGGGGCCGTCCTACTGTTTCACCCGGGCCACAAAAGCAAGACCCGTCGCGAAAAGTCACTGTAGGTGATCCATTTGCCGCCCTCGATTCAACGAGTAGTCAAAAGGCTCTCGGGGCCGACGAGCTATCTGCGCGTTTCCCGACTTTGGACCAGTTCTCTCTTCTTCACGACAAGGGAGCTAAATTTGACTTCGACTCATCGGCAATTTCACCACAGTCTCAACACGTTGAGGCCGACCAACACGTGGCAGAGCGTCTGGCCGACGAAGCATTTGCCTCGCTACAACAGAGTCCAGAGAAACCGGCTCCCTCCCCACGACCTCACTCTCTCACTCCCCCTTCGCAGCAGCCTGAACACCTTTCCACTCCTCCTGTTGACCGATCTCCGTTGAACACGTCATCAGCGCCCACAACAACGGAGCAGAGCCAACCCAGTCGGGCCTCCTCGATTATCAGCAGTAACCCCGAGCTGAAGGCCATTTCGGCTCAGACTAACGCAAAATATGTCTCGACTGGAACGATGACGTCTGAGTTTTCTTCCAGAGTCTCAACGCCTCAATTTGAGAAACATTCAGAGAAGAAGCTCCCTGAACGTACCCCGTCCCGCGCAGACCAGGATTCGCTGCCTAATCACGCTCGCCCTCAATACCTCAGACGACCATCTCTATCGTCACGGCCGTCTTTGGAGGATCATCGAATTCAGGCCCAGTCGACGGATTCTACGTTGAGCTCATCAACACATGTCAGTCGGCCACGCCCCGCCAGCACCAGTTTTGAGTCCAGCACTCTGGATTTCCTGCGGGAAAGGGAATTGGCTGCCAAGCCTTCTAGGATGACAGTGCAGTCATCAATGCAAAATCCACAGCGGCGGCCGGCAGCTGCACCTCAGACAATCAGGGTAGAGGGCAGAAAGCAAACAGAAGAGGACCTGTTGCTAGACGTGACGAACTCCCCAGTGACAACTCAAGATGAACAAACGGATATCAATCGGAGATCGACTGCCTCAACAGCTTCTGGTCTTAAGAAATTAGCAGGCAAATATGGTGACGCTTTCAACCGGTTTGAAGGCGCTTCACCTCAGGAATCTGTAGGTATAATTCAGTCTGAGCTGCCTGAGCTACCCGAGTTGCCACAAAAGTCGACATCTCACCATGATGCAAAAGTTCCACCGAAGCAGGAACCAGCTGTTGGTCCCAGTGCCAATGCCCTGATTGATATTGAGGAGGACAGCATGACGCCAGAAATGAGGCGTGAGCTCGAACGTCAAAGGCTTGAAGAAGAAGAAAAACGAGTTGCTGCTGCTCAAGCTGAATATAAGAACCGGGTTGGCTCATCTGGGAAACCGGTTCCTGGCCCCAAGATCGTGGGGGCTTCACAACGCAAAGCCAGCACGATTCAAAGCCGCGTGCAGAGCTTGCTCAGCGAGGAGCAGAAACCATCTCCTGTTCAAAGGACTGCCCACGGTTATGGCAAGTACACCGATGAGCAGTCGGCGGCGCCTTCCGGTCAGAAACCAACGCCAAGCATCGTTCGCAGGTCAATGGCTCCCAGACCAATAAATGCGACCCCTTCCAATGACTCCGGGTCCATCACGGTTTCTACATCCCATTCAATGCCAGCACCATCCCAGCCAAGATCTACGGGGCAAAAGCCACCTGCGCCGAAGAAAAAGCCCACTCATCTAAATAGCTTCCCAACAGGACATCGTCCGCCGTCACCAATTAAGCAGAGCCAACATGCCCAGCCCGAGCACCTCATTGCAGTAGACCTCCCAGGTCAACCTGTTCTTGAAATGTCAATCCAGGATAAAGAAGACTATATCGAAGATTTTGCAAAGCGATTTCCCAGTTTAAGTTCAATAGAGACGGAATCTCAAGGCAGTCGCCGCAGTGAATCGCGACGATGAACAGCCTCTGCAAGGTTTAGAATATAAATGTATTTTTCATGATGGCATAAGCATATAAATGAATCAGTGCTCTGCACGTTTACGAATTAATGCCATTTAATTCGATAATAAACGAACCAAATGTTGTGACCACATGCTGAATTGTCGAATGTTTTGCCTTGCTTTGGTACATGTCTGGCCCACTTTATTTTAAGTTCTTATCTTATCAACGCTGCCCAATTTTTTTTTTCTTGAGTAGCACCATCAACCACCTATCGCCAACTTATATCAAGTTTATCAACCAGCATTTAATCACAAGACAGTAAAATGGCTAAAAGGAAGAGACAAGCCGTGAACGGAAACGATTCCGCCGCAGCTAACCCTGTCCCGTCCAAGAAATCCAAGGCAGCCGACACCAACCCGAAATCTAAAACGTCCTGTCATCCCGAAACCATCCAGATCATTGTCGGATCTTATGATCAAGTTCTGCACGGCTTAACTGCCACCATTTCCGACGACAAGGCCGAATTTGCAGATACCTTTCTCTTCAACGCACACAACTCCGCTATCCGATGCGTGGCAGTGTCGCCTCCCTCCGCAGCGGTCCCCGGACAAACACAAAAGGTGCTTTTGGCATCTGGAAGCACGGACGAGCGAATCAACATCTTCAATTTATCGGCGCACCCTCCTAGTCGGAAAAACCAAGATCTTCTCGCCAAGATTGCGCCGCGGCCTATTCTTGAGAATTCCAAGAACAGAGAACTGGGGACGTTGTTCCACCATACTTCGACAATAACTGCGCTTCGCTTCCCGTCGAGATCAAAACTTCTCACTGCCAGTGAAGACTCTACCATTGCGATTGCCAGAACAAGGGACTGGTCTGTATTGAGTACCATCAAGGCGCCTATTCCCAAGGCTCAAGGCAGACCGAGTGGTGATACGGCGGCATTTGGGGCAACGCCCTCGGGTGTGAATGACTTTGCCATTCATCCTAGTATGAAGTTGATGATCAGTGTGTCCAAGGGCGAGAAATGCATGCGCTTATGGAATTTGGTCACGGGCAAGAAGGCCGGTGTGTTGGGCTTCGGCAAGGACATGCTGCAGGAGATTGGAGAGGGACGGCATTCTACAGGGGAAGGGAGAAAAGTCGTCTGGGGAAATGTCGATGGTGCGGATGAGTTTGCCGTAGGGTTCGACCGTGACGTGGTGGTCTTTGGGATGGACAGCGTGCCCAAATGTCGCCTTATGACGGGGCAGAGAACCAAGGTCCATCAATTTACCTATGTCAGCGCCGACGAAAGGTCGCTTTTGGTGGTCGCTACCGAAGATGGACGGATACTCTTCTTTTCCACCAAGAAGGACGATTTATCACCGCCAGGGGAAGTCAATGGGAAGAAGGGGACCCTGTCCAGTGCCAAGTTGGTAGGCTTTGTAGGTGGGAAAGCAGAGGGCATATCTGGCCGGATAAAAGATATCGTGGTCTTGCCAAGCGAGGTTAACCAGGGGACGTTGTACTTGGTGGGAGCAAGCAGTGAGGGCAAAGTCCGGGTGTGGACGCTACAAGCAAAGGATTTGGTTGCGGCCGCTACGAAGGATAAGACGGGCGAGAATCCAATTGGGAAATTGGCTGGCACATTTGAGTCGGAGAATCGCATTACGTGTTTGGCGGGATATGTGATGATTCCTCGGCCAGACGGTGCGGAGGATAGTGAAGAAGAGGGCCCGGAAAGTGAGGTTGAGGAGAAGGACGGCGACGACGACGACGACGACGATAATAGTAGTGAGGATGGAGATGAGTAACACACATATCTGTTGCAATATTGGAAGATAACGACTGTGTATCACAGCAATGTGTAGCATCTAAGAAGTACCTGGCTCCGTGTAGTGTTGTATCTACGACATTACCGGATGTACAATTACCTGCGCTCCCTCCTTGTGATAAATATAAACCAGAAACATACTCCTATATCTGGGGGCCCTGCTGTGCTCAGTAGCCGGGAATTGTGTAAATTCATCCCAACCAAGTGGAGAGAAGTTGCTTCTTTATCCGTTATTCCGGGAGAGTCTTGCCATCACATCGCACGAGGCGACGCGCTTCGCAGCAAATTCATGTTCCACCTGTCGTAGGAATCGCGGCAGAAGGGTACACGGGTTTGGCAACCAGAATACTAGTGCTCCAAACAAAGGTCGTCCTGCATTCCAAGGCTGCATTGTTCTCGGATCAACCCGAGGACACACACAAATCATTTTATCATTCAACGTTTATATTTTACCAAGACGATGGTGTTGATGACACGGAGCTGCACGTCTCTGTCCGACGTCAACATGTGGCCGCAAAGTTTGGTATGCACATACGAACCCTTGTCGATGGCCATCTTCTCGTGGGGACCCATCAAGGCGCAATGCATCTTCTCCCACTGCATGTGCGGGCGGTATTCCCCATCGACGTACAGGCCCGTATGCTCGCCCGTCATGATTTACTGATGTGTCAGGGGTTGCCTGCGATTCGGATCCATGAACCATTCTCACCCGGTCAAGTGCTGCGACAGCTCGGCGTCGTAGCAGCGCTCCGGCAGCCAGCAGAACGAGATGACGTCCAAGTAGCAGCCCCGGGTCCGCGCCTCGGCCGGTGTCTCACCGCACGGCTTCTCCATGACCTGAGCCTGCTGAATCTGTCTTGATATGGCGGCTGGCTTGTTGATGGACAGCTTCTGGGCGCCGAACCAGCCGACGAGGGCACCGAGCAACGCGATGAGGCTCATGCCGAGAATCACAGGGGCAAGACGCGGGACGGAGTATCGGCCGCCTCCTCCAACCCGCTGAAAATAACCACGAAAGCAATCCAGTATTGAATTCGTCATCGTCTTGGTAACCTAGTTGTCTATTGTCCCATGGCTGATTCACCTGCCTAAAATAGCTGCGAGGCTGCGCTGCGCTCATGTCCGGGAGGCGGCAGGGACGACAAGAAAAGGAACATGAACGTTGGACCAGACTCCAATGCCTGTCAGTACGTGGCGCCATCTGCCTGCCAGGCTCAATTCGCTTTGCTTCATGTGCACCGTTTGCCTGGCCGAGGGCCGGGTAGAACCTAATAAAGTCCGCCAACGTCAAAGCTGCCCAGACCGACACACTTCAAGAGTCTGATACGAGCCTCGTCAACGGCATAGGCAGGCGAATCATGTCGACATGCTTGGGTGATAACTCGATCGGCCCAGCTGTCGTAGGCTGTCGCGGTGACTTTGACTTCACCATCACTTTTGAGGAAACTATCTTGTCGATATTACCCTCGGCGTGCTTCATCTTCTTGGCAACGCCACGACTCTGGGTACTTTCTAAACGCCAAAACACCAAAGTGAAACGTCACGCGACCCAATGGCTGAAATCAGTAAGTCTCCATCTCAGGTCGTTTGCAATGAACGGGTTGCCTGAAGTAGGCAGCTAACCGGCTACCAAAGGCCTTCCTGGTTGCCCTTGTCGCCTTGAATCTGGGCATGCTAGCTCTGGCTGCTACATGGCGACCAAGGAATCCCGTCAACAACAAAATAGTCGCTGCAGGCGCCATGTCTAGCGTGGCAGCCTTGCTACTCCTGCTTCTCTCCAACATTGAACACATGAAGAGCCAACGTCCCTCCATACTCATCAGTCTCTACCTTTCTCCAACGACCTTGTTCGATGTCGCTCGCACAAGGACATGGCGGCTCGAGTCTGGCGGGCGTTCATACACTGCCATCTTGACGGCCAAGACTGTCTTGCAGTTCACCGTTATTCTTCTGGAAGCCATGCCCAAATTCCACTTGCTACGAGGCCATGAAACGCACACGGATACAAGCCCTGAAGAAACCAGCGGCATATTCTCGCTCGCCTTCTTCTACTGGCTTAACCCGCTGGTTTACAAGGGCTCAAAGAAAATTCTCAAGTCGGATGATTTGTATCCGCTTGACAAGCGCCTCTCGGTGAGCAACCCGCTCAATGGCTTTAACAACTTGTCCGGTCGCTCCTTGAAACCTGATTTAAGCAGCGTGACGCTGCTCTTCCGCCTCGTGCAAACCGTAGGGCCATCACTTCTTAAGCCAGTCCCAGCACGGCTACTATTGATCGGGTTTTCATTTTGTCAACCTTTCTTCATTCAGCGGCTTACTAGTTTTCTCCAAGAAGATGCATCATCCGTTGGGAGCATTGGCGTGGGGCTCATCGGGGCGAGTATCCTTATATACTCTGGATTGGCTTTATCCACGTCCATGTACTGGTATTGCCAGTACCGAGTCCTGACCAGGTTTCGCGCGACCCTTGGCCATATCATCTATGACAAGAGTCTCCAGCTACCCACAGTAGATGATGGCGTCTTGACTGTGATGAGCATGGACGTTAATCGCGTCTATGGGGGTCTTCACAACGTTCATGAGCTGTGGGCAAACACGATTGAGGTCGCGCTCGCGGCATGGCTACTGCAGAGACAGATTGGGACTGCATCCGTGACACCAATTATCATTGTGGGCATTTGCGTTAGCCTCACCGTTGCCGTTGGCAAGTTTGCCGCAAAGTATCAAGGCGACTGGTCACAGAAGACGCAGGACCGTGTGAAACTTACATCGAGCGTGATTGCACAAATCAAGGAGTTGGAGTTATCAGGCAGGAGCACACAGATAGCAGCTCTAATGCAGCGTCTTCGCGAAGATGAGCTAGACGCGGGCGCCAAATTTCGTCTCCTTGGCACCGTCTCAACTTGCGTCGCCTTTGGACCTATGCTGCTTGCCCCTGTTATCACATTTGCCTTCACTAGTATCGGCCGAGGTCTCGACACCTCGCAGGTTTACGCCTCGCTGTCGTGCTTAACGCTACTTTCAAGCCCGCTCTCTCAGCTATTTCAGACAGTCCCATCAATGTTGGCGTCTACTGCGAGCTTCAAGAGAATCTACGACTTTCTTTCCAAGCCGAACCGAGCCGAATACCGAAGCACCCTCCGTTCTGCCGGTGAAAAGGGGCAAGAGCAGGTCATCTCATTACGAGACGTCAGTTTTGGTTGGCAGGAAGACAAGTGGTCGCTAGTTAACCTCAACATTGCATTCTCTGACTCTCAGTTATCCATCGTCACAGGCCCCGTCGCGTCTGGAAAGTCAACGCTCTGTATGGGTATCTTGGGTGAAGTTCCTTTCGTTCAGGGTACAGTCAGCGTTCGACCGACCTGTTTTGGGCAAATAGGCTTTTGCGGCCAAACCCCATTTCTTACCAATGATTCTATTCGCGCAAACATCGTTGGCCCTGACCAAAAGTTCCATGAACAGCGTTACAAGTCAGTCCTACAGGCGACTCTACTGGATGTGGACATTCGAAATATGTTGCAGCACGATGAGACGTTAGTTGGAAGCAACGGAATGAATCTTAGTGGCGGCCAGAAACAGCGAGTAGCCTTGGCTCGCGCCTTATATCTCGACGCAACTCTCTATGTTCTAGACGATACGCTCAGCGGCCTCGACACGCAAACGTCCAATGAGGTCACTCGGCGGCTTTTTGGGGCAGATGGCATCTTACGGACAAAAACAGTCATTTGGTGCACTCACTCAACTGAATACCTCTCGCTCGCGCAGCAGGTCATCGTTCTAGGAAAGGATGGCAAGGTGCAGAGTTGTGGTCCTTCCAATGCCGAGGCAACTAGCCTTGTTGAAGAGAGCATACTGGATACCACAGAAAAACACGGCATTTCGTCCTCTAGCAGTTCAAATGGCGAACGGCCGGTGGTCAAGTCCACGGTCGAGGGAGACAATGGCAAGCGACTACTCCGAAGCCGGCATGACGGAAAGGTCTACACCCAGTATATCAAGGCTCTTCGTCCCAGAATCTTGGTGTTAGCTCTTGTAACCGGAACCCTGTTCAGCTTTGGGTATAATTTTGGAACAGTGTGGGTAGGATTCTGGGCCAAAAACTCGTTCCATTGGCCCGATGATCAGTCTCAAGCATTCTACCTTGGCCTTCTCGCCCTCTTCGAAGTGTTCGGCCTTGTTAGTCTCGCCGGCTTTCTCGGTAGTACGCAGATGCAAATGCCCAGACAAGCAGGTTCTGAGCTCCATTTGAGGGCACTCAAGTGCTTATTCAGTCTGCCATTGACTTATTTTAGTTCTGTAGACAAGGGTACAACGACGAACCTTTTCTCGCAAGATATGGGCATGCTTGATAACCAACTCGTATTTGCTATTTCCAATACTTTACTATCAGGATTCACAGTCATTGGGCAGCTAGTTGTCGTCGCTGTTGCAACACCGTACATTGCCATCGGATACCCCTTTTTCTTTGGAGTCCTGTACTTGCTCCAGAACTACTATCTCAAAACGTCGAGACAACTTCGATTGCTGGACCTCGAGGCGAGAAGTCCTTTGTAGTGAGTCGTTGCTTGTTTTGGCTAGTATTTTCACTTTAAGAGGCTAACAGTCCATAAGTTCTAGGTTCCAGGACGTTGTCGCAGGTTTGATTTCCATCCGAGCATTTCAGTGGATGAATCAATACCAGAAAGCATTTGACCTGTTCTTGAACCAGTCTTTACAGCCGGATTATCTGCTCGATCTTGCCCAACAGTGGCTGACACTGAATCTGAACCTGATTGTTGGCATCATCGCCGTTGTAGTCACTTGCTTTGCCACACAAATTGTGGCATCATCTCATGCCGGACTTGTTGGCGCTAGTTTGGTGTCGCTCATGACGCTCAGCGAATTAGCATGCGCAACCGTGCGATCATGGGTTCAGTTGGAGACCTCTCTTGGTGCAGTGAAGCGCCTGCAGGATTTCGACGATAATCCTACTCGAGAGGCTGACCAAGGTAGGGACCCTCCAGTGGATTGGCCAACGTCAGGACAAATTACCATTGATGGCGTTTCGGCCGCTTATGGCAGCAAGACATCTGAGAACGCTTTGGTACTTCGTGACATTCACCTCAGCGTCAGCGGTGGCGAGAAGGTTGCGATTATTGGCAGGACAGGAAGGTAGATATTTGCTTGAGCCACAGCTTCGTAACAAGAGTTCCTGGGATACTAATACCAACTTCCCTTTAGCGGAAAATCATCGCTTCTCCTCCTTCTTATGCGGCTGCTCCATACTACTCCTGACACCTCGGACAAGATGACGGTCGACGGGATTCAACTACAGCATTTGAGCCCTCAGGCCCTGCGGCAGAGGATCATCGCTGTTCCACAGGAACTGATGTTTCTGCCTGGCACGGAAACCTTCAGACAGCTCCTTGATCCTGATGGAAACCTAAGCGACGAGCAGTGTAGGACCGCTATTGTCGAGGTTGGCCTAAACGATCTTGTCGAGGACTTGGGTGGCTTAGACGCTCTGATGTCTGAAGACAAATTAAGCCACGGACAGAAACAGCTCCTAAGTCTTGCTGTAGCTGTGGCAAGAAAGCTGCGCAGAGATCAAGCCGACATGTCAAGAGACACGGATACAGAAAAGGGCAGCAGTAGAGGCATCTTGCTGCTTGACGAGGTGACAGCTAACGTGAATTTCGAAACAGAGGACAAGATGCTGGAAGTTATCTTTCGCGTCTTTGGCGACTACACTGTGCTAAATATCACGCACCGACTCAGGTCTCTGCATCAATTTGACGCCGTGTACTCAATGTCGGGGGGCAAGATCAATGCCATCAAGGATGCTGAGAGGCCATTCATGTATACTTGAAGATGGAAAGGCCAAATAGATAATACCTAGTGCATTTGGGCGTGTCGGGCTGGTTGATGCGTAAAATGGTGCATGTCGCCAGCAACTACTAGTCACGGCGGCATCAAATCGTACTGCTTCAATGTTGCCTCTTGTATCATTGGTCCACTCGTAAAGGCCGATCCGTAAAGGTAAAGTGCACGCACTTGGGCAAAACGCAAACACAAGCATAAGCCACGACAAGCCCTCTTTCACTCACCATGGTACGAGTGGATATACTAGGCAATGCAGCTGGTGGAAGATGCTGAGACCAAACATTGTCTCTCCATTTGCGTGGTCACCAAGGTGATGTGAATCTGCGACATGTCGTTCTATCTTTTTTGGCTCCATGGCTGAATCCCTTGTGGTTTGGCCCCGTGTGGTTCGGTTGGCTCAAGACAAGCGGCAAAGCGACCAGACAGCAAGAGCAAACGTAAGCACTACGAGAAGGCCTATTATGGCGACGAGCAGTTTGTACTTGGGTTCCCAGGCATACATGTAGTGCTTGCGTGGCCCATGAACACCATGCAAGATGCTGGCTGAGTTGTCACTGTGTTCTCCCTCATTGGTCAATGGCACGTAGCTTGGATCGTTTTTTATTTTTTCATCCATTCTCATTTTCATCCGAGTTTATTCCTCTTGTAGAAGACAAGGCCTCCAACCACATACACACCAAGAAGGCATAGAAAAATTATGGCGGGCCTGTTCCATGGTGCTGCCGGCCATGAAAAGCTTGCCGCGCGGTAGGATGTGTGCATTTCAGTCATCCAGCACCACAAACTCTCTTTGGCTCGATGAGTTTGCAGGCTCCGACATGGAGTAAGCTACGTTCCACGCTGAAGAACTGAAGGACTTGTTGGGGTCCTCATCATTCATGACTTGCGCGCCAGCCATCACGCTGGAAGCGACTTGGAGACTGTTGTCGGGAAGCTGAAGGCAGGCACATGCCAATCACTTGGGCATCCATCTGAGAAAGTGTCGTATGCTGTTATTGGATAGTTTATTTCGGGACACTGCAGGCTAATTGTCCGTTGTGGCCAATTTAATGGAGTGCTTCGAAGTACTTGGAGGTATCCCCTATATTATATAAAAGCTCCAGTTAAGTATATATAAGAGTATATATTTAATATAAAGCTATATTTGGAGGGATACATGTATTTACTAGTAAATTTAGTAATAACTAAAGTCCCTATCGGAAGGCTTATTATAAATAGCTATATTATAATACGAAAACTTAAGCTGCTATTAAAGTCGCCCGAGGTTACCAGTTGCCTACTCCGTACTTAAGTACGGAGTACACGGGTATTGTGGGGCTTGTGGCCTCACTGGAGCCCTCACATCAGCCGGTAGAGCCACAAACGGCCAGGGTTAGGTGGGACTTGCTGGAGACCCACGTCGCTATCCACCTCTACATGTGGTACTACTGCGTACATGTACAAATGTGGGTGTTTTCGATGTTGTTTGATCTGTTTGGGCTGGCAAGCCGGGCGGGCAGGGCTGCCTGGCAACTGACAACTGACAAGCTGCTCAAGTGGGCGAAGGGCTTGGCAAGAGTGACAACATGGAAGAGGAAAAGGTTGCTCGCTGCGACTCCAATTCACATGCTAGACAGTACGACCAGACGTACAAAGTGCTTTCCTTTCCATAACACTTTACCTTGCTTCTCCCATCTCTAACCCTTCCAAAGGGCTTCTTCAAGACCACATTGGCAGCCACTGCATATGTACTTTTACCTTGACCTCTGTCGACGGCCATTCCCATCCTGCTGTTCTGCCCGACCATCCTCTTACTGGCCGCATGGCCCTGCTGCATTCCACCCGCCCACACACCACATGCCAACGTTGGGCTGAACTTCAAGAGAACGAGCAAGAAACACTGCCCAGCACTCCGACCTCGTCGTCTCCGACCTGACGTTGAACATCGCCATTGTCTACGACTCTCTAGCCGATTCCCGCTAGCATAGCCTGTCTCCCTAGTTTTTATGTAAAGCTGGCTCCATTACTGCTGCATCCTTGATTCATGCAACGCCGCAAAGCGGGCTGGTTGTCGGTTTGCATTGTTTGGCTCCTCACCACCAAAACCAGAGCTCTACAATAACGAGCAAATCCCCCTCCCAAACCCCCTTCACATCAGGGGTCCGGTGTTTCATTCGAACAGCAGCTGCCTCCACATCATCCATTCGTGTTGGGTCGCTCGTGGGGGCTCCCAGGAGACATTGACCATATCGGCAAGCTTCTTGACATTGTCGCCGCCTTGGGAAGTTGAACCGTCACCCCGCTGACCACCCGAGCTTGCATCTTCATTCCTCACCTGCCGCCTCATTTTCTTCTCCTTACTCTCTTACTCTTGGCTCCCTTTTTGCATCAAAAAGTCCGCCTGTCCTCGGATTCAAATACTTTGACAGGCAACTTCGGACAACGTCGCATAATTGTGTAAGCCATCAGCTTGCACCCAGACCATCTCCACGTATTGAGACGCCAAAAAGGCCGGGGGCTACAGCATCGATTTAATACAAATCCCCACTTCCAACACCATGCAAACGTCTACATCCCCGGTCGTTGACCAATCTTCCCCATGTCAAACCCCCGTCCAGGGGCAAGATGTGTTCTGCAACAGTCCTCTGAGCACCCTTCGATCTGCCGATTCATCTTCTTCTGCAGCCCTAACCAGTGTTGATAAGAGCTTGTTTCGTTCACCGTCTTTGCCCACAGCAGCCTCTACACGAAGACAAACTTGGCCTGAGCCAGCTTCTCCGACAAGGCAGTCTCCGCTGCGGAAGTCTACGGTCCCAGGAGACATACAAAGTTCGGACGAGGAGGTGTTTCCAGTTCCGGGCTCACCGTCTACGCTCGGTCATCTACGCAGAAATAGGGCTGCCATGTCTTTGACGGGTGACAGAAGGGGCAGAGAATCACTGGACAGATCTCAGGCTCGGCCTGGCGCTTGGTGCATGAGACGACATAACAGGGTCGTTGAAGAGAGTCCAGCAGAAGATCAAACGGCATCATCTGAATCCACACCTACCAAATCACGCAGCTCTCCCACTGTTGCCGCCCTATCACCCGCAGCCAACATTGCTCGGCCAAAGCTCACTTCGCCTACTTCAGCATCCCGGTTCTCCCTATTCAACATGGCCTCGACCTTGAAGGGTCTAGCATCCGCTCCAGTCTCGGTGCTCCAGGACGACGAGCTCATGAATATGGACATTGACGCAGCTCTATTTCCCGGCGGTTCACCGTCCGACGGCGAATCCTTCTCACCCGCCGCTTTCAAGAATTTACAAATGAACGCCTTCGGTCTACTACGAAAATTCCAGACAGCCTACCAACACAAGGCCATGGCATTGCAGGAACTCCATGCCGAGAAGGATGCCCAAGAAGAGGAGAAAATCGAAGCCGAGACTCGAGCTACTCATCTGAAGATGCAGTTGGAAGGCATGGCACAAAAAGCCGCAGAGACAGAAGCCATGATGCAAGCTCTGCTGGAGGAACTCGGTCGCGAAAAAAGACTTCGCGCAGAAGAAAAATGCACCAGAGAAGGCGGCATCTTATCTTCAGGCATGTCAACCATATCCGAGGATCTCGGTGTGGAAGACGACCAAAGGAAGAAATACCGCCGTCGAAGTGGCGGAACTACCAAATCTGACGAAGCGGGCTTCGACACTGACGATGAAAGTGTAGATGAAGTCAGTGTATTTTCGAGGTCGCGCAGTCCCACGCTGCCAGCTAGTATGTCCGACTCGCACGTCGTCTATGTCGACAACGGCAACCACAGCTCAATACCGCCGATACCGAAACCCACCATGCTGGAGCCGCCTCGTGCCACACGCCAATCCCAACCCCAAATGTCCACCTTTCAAAAGCTATTCAAAGGCATTTCTGGTGATCCTGGCAGGGATGGTGAGCGAGCTATTGTCCAAGCTTGTCAGAATTGTCAGGGCCAAGATGCCGGCATAGCTTGGGATACGGCTAGTTTGCTAAGGCACGAGAATACGGGTTTGAAGAAAAGAATCGGGGAGCTAGAGAATGCAGTTGACGAGGCACTTGATGCCGTCATGGGCCTACGGGTGTAACAAGCTTGTATGGAGACATGCATTATTTCTTTTATGTCGATAAAAATGCTCTCTGGACTGGGACCTAACCGAAGACGGTTCATCACGAGACTGGGTAGACTGGATGGAAAAGGCGTTTTATTTGTGTAACGCATGATGATAGATAGATGTGCATATACCCCATGATTAAGTGCAAATCAATCAGCTGTCCCGTATTCCTGATAATTTATGTGACTATCTTCTGATGGCTTACTTGATGGTGAATACCTTTGGCATTATAAGCCTGTGGTTTGTGGCAATACAGCTTCTTGGTTCAAGAGCCAGATGTCCTATTCCACACTTCTAGTGTTACGAAGGGAGTTGTCCACTGGCAATGATCGACTGTTCCGATTGGAGCGAATTCCTTAAGCATCGATCGACTATTCGCACCGAAGCAGTGATACATCACGTATGCCACAAGAGCTCCATAAATGGTAGTCACTGGCTTTCTTTTTTTCCACCTCGCAGAATGGAGTTACCAGAGCGTCAAACCTAAAATCTCCTGTAATCGGGCGTCTACTTCCACGCACAAGTCCCGTCTTGAAAACAGCAACACATCCAAGGCTGCTTTTGCATCAATAATTCTATTGCCCAGCTTATACACAGCCTAAGCAAATCGTTCAACAAAGAAAAAAGCCAGCTCTTTTTTCCTGGCCGCTCGTATATGTACATATTTCCTCTTCTACATCCCCCAATCTTTCGGGTTGTACACATTCCCTCGTCTCACTCAGATTCGAATTCTCGCTTTTCTCCCACAGCTCAGATCAACCTGCGCGATGGTATGTTTAATGGTGGGCCTCGCCGTGATGCTCGTCCTGCATGAAGAAATGCTCGTAGACGCAGTATCCGGCGAAAGCGACGGTGGCGGTGCCCAGACCAGGTAGGGAGCCCTTGAAGCGGTTGAAGCGGGAGAATGTGCCTGTATATCTCCACGCCTCACTGGAATTTCATCGAGTCAGTCATTGGTTTTTAGAGTCGTTTGGACTGCCGGAATTACGAAATTCGCTGGGTTCGTGGTGGGTGGGGGGGTTGTAACGTACGCTCGTTCCCAGGGATCGTATCGCGGCTGGCCGGCGGCCTCTTTGAACGCTCGCATGTTGAAGCCGGTGATGTTGGCCTTGGACCCGCGGGCCGCTCGGAGTACTCTGTTTTGCCGGGCGTTAGTTATATTTCCTTCGATGGAAGGCGTTGCACGCGGGGAGCTAGTGAGCCGTCGCCCGCGCGCTCGCACAGGCAGCAATTGCGCTGAGATCGTACCTGGTAGGAAGCATCGTTTCCGATTAAGCCGCCTACGACCAGGGGGTGACGGAATCGGTGTGGTGAAGAGAGTGCGTGGTGATCGAGGCTAGAGGTTATTCGCAGTCTGGCACTCTGGAGGTTGGTTTGCCGGCTGCTTAGGATCCCACAGAATGGACGGCCGCTGATTCGTTACTGGCCGGAACAACGTAGTTGCTGGTGAAGCAGCGTCCTTCTGAGAAGAAACAACTTGGGCCCCACGTACCTGCCAGCTTGTGCAGAGATGGTGCACGGGCCACTTGCAATTGGGCAACACTCCAAGTGAACCCGAGTCGGTCTGAGCAGCCTGCCTTGCCTTGAATCGGAGGTCCCGTCGAGGTCTTCTTGAACTACACTCCGGCTTTTCAAGCATCACACGAAACGCAACCCACGCAGCTTTGCTAGCCTACGCACTGCACACCCCCAAATCGACGTGCGGCTACCTTTGCCCTTCGGCTCCCACAGTCTCACGGTACCCTTAACGCCCATCAAGCGAACCCAAAGGAACACACGCGTGCGAACCGAGTAGCTTCACTCTAATCCCTCGATATCTCCGGACCAATAGGACTTATTTTCAAATCAGAACAGCGGCGGTATATCTGCATCCCACTCTTTCACTGACGTGTTGCCGCGATCCGTTCAGGGTTCATCTTGTCTGGTGCCTCTTTCTGGTTGGTGCCTTGAATACGGTTAAGGCCGGAGCGTCCGTCGTCTTCCCTCGGAACAGCTTCACCCGACACTTGCGCCTATACTCAATGAACCTTGATCAGCACCTTTAGGAAGTGCCGGTGCATCATCCATATCCTATTATCACCCGAGAAGTTTGGACGCAGGCGTGCAGGCGAGCAGAGGGAGAAGCAGGGCGACTACCTCGGGGGTTCAAACAGGAGCCTCTAAATCAGCTGCCACGAGAGTCGCAGCAGGAGAAGAAGCTGCAACAGCCACCACCACGTCCACAACCTCCTCCCAACGCTCCTCGTTGTCCGCGGCATATGCGACAGCCTGTTGAACACCTATCCGCATAGCAAGCGCAACAGCGACAGCAGGGACGACGAATATCCCCATATACTCCCAGAGGCACTCGTCCACATTCGCCCATACGTCCACTTCCATCTGGGGATCAAATTCTTTCGCAAATAATATCTCGACAAATCCAACTGCGACATCGAGTCATATCACAACCACAAACTCATATTTGTCCTTCACCGCCAAGGGGCCCTCCATCAACAGTCTTGCCGAAGTGGATTTCGCCGTTTATGAGGTGAAGAAGTGGGCCAAGTTATACGAAACAAAGCGCAGCAGTCACTCACGGAATACTCGTCGAGGTCGATAGTGTAATCGTCCGCGACCGCAACCTTTACGTCGACAATCCCTTACTGACCATTGGCCGTTTCCAAGAACAACGAGGACCAATCTGCTTCGACAAGAACATTTCCAACAACCTGTTGGTAATATACTCGCCACTGCTTGACAACCACTGCGGCGGAAACTGGCTTCACCCGGGGCTTCTATCAGCTTCAACCAGGCTTCTCCGCCACTCTCCTACCATATGCCACCACAGATCCGGGGCTTCGGCGCTGGTCCTGGCGTTGGTGGGCCTTTCCACCAACCCGGATTCCCTTCTCATGGACAGCCTCAAGGCGGCCCGATGGGTGGTAACCAATACCTGAATGCCAATGCTCAGATAAGCTCTTTTGCAGGAGCCAACGGCAACGCCTTTGCAGGTCTCAATGGGTCAGGATTTGCTGACTCCGGCTTCGGCAGCCAGAGCGCTAGAATGGGCTTTGCGCATGGTCCCGCTGCCGGATTGCAACAACCTCAACATGGGGGGCAGTTGCAGCACGGTGTATTGATGGAGCATCCGACAATGAGAGCCCAAACTAATAAGGGAAGAATACGAGAGGTCTGGAAACATAATCTAGAGGAAGAAATGGCGGTATTGAGAGATATTGTGGACAAGTATCCGTACATTGCCATGGTAAGTCCTTATTACGCTTTATTTATGCTCACCCCACAACCAGCAATTCTACATTTTGAATGCTAACGCTACGAAACAACAGGATACGGAATTTCCCGGAGTTGTTGCCAGACCTATGGGCTCATTCAGAGGCAAAAGTGACTACCACTATCAATGTCTACGGACAAACGTCGACATGCTCAAAGTTATCCAAATTGGACTGACTCTGTTCAATGAGGATGGTGAGACCCCACCGGCAAGGCCCGGACCGGACCTGGGACTTGGACCAAAAGCAATGAAGGCGGCCAGCCAGGGGCCTTTCCCGTACTCGTGGCAATTCAACTTCAAGTTCTCCCTCAAGGACGACATGTATAATGAAAAGTCTATCGAGTCGCTACAACAGGCTGGCATTGACTTTAGTCTTCTTGAACGAGATGGCATCGATCCCAAGGCATTTGCGGCACTTCTCATTCCTTCGGGATTAGTATGCTTTGACGAAGCTAGATGGATCTCTTTCCATGGAGGGTACGATTTTGGGTATCTCACAAAGCTGCTAATCTGTACACCGCTGCCCAACGACGAGGCCCAGTTTGACAGCAAGATGAAGCTGTATTTCCCGACGACGTACGATGTCAAGCACCTCATGAAGTATGCCATACGTCTACACACCCAAGGATTCCTCACGCCTAATGACCCAGCTGTAATTGACATCTTGAACAAATTCGAGCACAAGTCTGGCCTTGAGAATATTGCCGAGACCTTCAAAGTCAAACGAATTGGGTCAGCGCATCAGGCTGGGTCAGATTCTCTTCTTACTGGGAAAGTATTCTTCCAGATGCGAGATAGGATCTTCAATGGATCAATTCCTGAAGACCACATTGGTAGAGTCTGGGGTCTGGGGGTTCCCGAAGGTCCAATGGCCCCTATGATGCAGCAGGGTGGCAACGATCATGGCCAGAATGGCGGCACCCCAAGCACGCCCAACCAAGTACCCGCTAGCCTCATCAGCAGTCCTGCAGCTGCACAGAATCACAACTCCAATGGGGGTATGGCACACATGGGTCCTATGACTCCCGGGGGAGGTGGCGGCGTCTTTGGAAGCTTTGCCTTTGCCGGCAACAGCAGATAGGGTTCTGCACACGGATGCCAGCTGCCGCCTATGTCGTAAAGCGGAGGACCTAGTACGCACTCTTTTTCCTTGTATCAATGGGATTGGTCCCTTTTCTGCACAATTGTAGCAGATGTAGTTGTTGATAATGATTCTATCTTGATATTGATTGTTTCGCATGCATTTGGGTTTGGTCGGTCCGGTCAAGAGGTGCTTGACCATCTACCTCTTACTCTTTATTACATATTCAAGAGTTTCCGCTGTCTCCTGGATTTGCTCTCTCTGATCGGTCATTGACATGGAATTGTGGGTCGTTGTGTCTCGGTCGAAAAGCGTAAAGGAAGCAAAGTTAGGCATCCCTCGTTGATTCTAGGAGGAATCCAGTGGTTTATGGAAATACCTGGACTGGAGATTTCTGGGAGTTTAGGATGTTAACAGGGTCGGGCTGGCACACGGAGTAGATTGCAGCGAATAGCTGCCTTTGTCAAGTCGGGGTTGTCTATTGTCAAGGAAACTGGAATGACAAATGTGCCGGTTTGACCGGTCTACCGTCTATCCATAGTTTCCAAGCGATCATGTATTGTAGCGTCGTGCGTACACAAAGGGTCTGGAAGTCCCTTGGCACACTTTTTTCCTCAGCTAGTTGAGGTGGGAAAAAAGGGCTTGTAGCATTGAGTTGTGTGTCTTGAGCCATTCTGTGTTCTTGAAACGCTGTGACATAAATATAACAGGAAACACCATATAACCATAAGTTTCGCTTGCCCTTGTACGCCAAAACAAAAAAGTCATGATCCATGCCAACAGTTCCCTAGTTTGTTATCCCTGTGTAATGACGTAGTGATTCTCAGCCGCAACAAAGACCACCTACGTAATGTACACCTTCTTCAACCCTTCAGCAGCAAACACCTCTCCAGTCTGGATATCCTTCACCAATGTGGGCGGTAACCCCGCTTTCTTCGCCTGATCCTGCAACCTCTGTGATCCGTACACCCTTCCGTTTGGCAAGAGCATCAAATCGTGCTCCACGTGGCTCTTGGTATGATGCGCATATGGTACATTTCTAGCTAGCTCGTTAAGCTCCGTTGAGCAAATGGGGCACACGCCGTGCCCGAGAGTTGAGGTGCCTTCTCCCTGGTGCGAGGCCGATGAGTGACATGCGGGAGTTTTCAGGGCAGACAGACCTGACGAGAGAGCGACGTGGAGGAGGGGAACAGACGGCAGTGCGAGGAGGTTGTTGTGTGCCTTGGTGAAGAGGTCTGCTAGCTCGGACCAGCGTGAAGGTTTATAGAAGTTGGAGTAGGCGGATGATGAGTGGCCGCCCGGGGGGAAGGCGAGGAGGCCGCATGCCTGGGAGACCTCCTTGGGATACGTCTTCCAGTAGGGAATCAGGTATTTTTTGGCGTGGGTGATGGCTTCGACGAGCTTGGGTTCGGATTGCGTGCGGATCAGTTCGACATATTGCTGAAGCCGCAGCATGAATTCTAGTTTGCTCTGAGATGTATGTGAGTTTCCATGACAGGGGATATTAAAGGCGTCGGTGTGGCCATACCTCCATCTTTCGCAGCTCCTTCTTGTTGTCGGTACACCAGGCTAGTGCTTCCGTGACGCTTCCACCTAGGAGCGCCTCTCGAATTCGACTCATGTTCACAAAGGTGTCGACATCGACTAGGTCTTGCATGTCCTTTTCCTCAGCTAGCTCGCTCGCGCTCTGGTTGAAGCCATGTCTTAGGAGGTAATCTGCTAGTAGGCGGTCCAGCCGTCGTCGACTCCATGCCTCGTACTTGACGTCGTCTACGCTACGTATGGAGTATAGTTCGTCGAGGTGTGTGATGCGAGCGGCGGTTTGGTGGTGAATTCGTGCCTCTTCGTCTGCGTACGTGGTGAGCTTCCGCTTGACTCCTCGCATTCGGGTGATCATGGTGTCAATGTTGCGGAGGACATCCTGCTGTGAGGCTCGGCCTGACACGGCAGCCGTCGCAGAGTCCTTGAGCAGGGTCTTGAGCGTGGATGTGTCCTTTTCGATTGTGAAATGAGCAGATCGAAAGTTCTTGCGGAGAAGTTCGTGCGGGAGGCGTAGAAGAGGTTGGTCCTGTTATGCCGCCATGTGGTGTTAGCCGGTGGCTGCAGCGTTCTCGATGTGCTACGAACCAAGAGGAGGTGCTCATTGTGTTTGAGCGTGGATTGCTCGTAGTCGGCCATGATGGGCGTCTGGGAGAGTCTACTGCGGACTATTCGAAATTTCCATTGATGAATCTAGGTTACAGGCCCCGGCTACAAGAATGTCGAGGTCGGGGGTTCGACGATGATGTGATGAGGTCGACAGTGACCGTGACCGTCGATCGATGGGGAGATGTCGGGTGCTTGTGGACCCCACAGCCTAGAAGCTCCTGCATCGGCTTCAGTGGCGAGCCGGAGGCTTACCCTGAATGGGACGGGAACTTTGGCAGCGAAGTATTTTGGAGCTGCTATTCAAAAAATATACACGTTTTAATGCGGCTTTGTTTCCTTTGGGTTGGTCTTCCTTCTTGACATGTTTTCATTTTCTGGCTTCTGGTCGCGTAGGGGATAGGATGCAGATGTGAACATTTGAAAGCTTAATCAACGAGTAGCTAATATGCTTCATTAGCTAGCCTCCCCGACCAACTCAGACGTGAACTCTTATTAAACACCGATTTTATTAAATTATTATTAAAAAAAGCTCAAGAGGTGATTCATGACCTCACGCGCCGGCGAAAGCCTAGAACAAACTCTGCACGTCAGAGAGGCACTGACAGTGACTCACGACTGCAAACACCGATTTTATTATACTGAAACGCAACATCAAAGACTAAAACATCGAACCTGCATTAGCTGCTGCGGTCCGTTAAACTATTTCTATCTGTTGCATCACCGCACCTTGGTGGCATGGTAGGGAGTGCTCCGTACTGTGTAGGGTTTGTTGACATGTCTGATGCCTGAATGCGCCCATGGGCAGACGGATCGAGACGAAACCGATGAATACACTGGAAGATAAAGGTTTCGACGCTGCTTACCAATAATACTATGAAAATAGTATACCTGCGTACGATACAAGCTGCACTTTGATTCACCGGCTGTCACTCAACCAAGGCGGGCACACACCATCGTTTCCGTGTTACCGTTGTTGAGACATGCATCTATGGCTTTGATAAAAGCGCCATGGACAAACCATTGGATTGTAACACATGATTCCCGAAATAGCGTGTTTCACCAGGATCGACTTCGAATGCCGGCGAGACCTCGCAGATATACTGCGTGTGTGGGCATTTTAGGTTTTTGGCGTGACTCGGCGTGAGTCACGGGCGCGAGGTTTACCTCTATGATGGCGGCTGAGGCTATCGCGAGATGGCCTTGGCTAGCGGCCGTGGCGTGGCACTACATATAATTGCGCTGGTACGTCTGACGCGTTACGATGCGTGTATAGACGGTCTACTTTTCTAGTCTCTTACTGTCCTTGGCCTGGTACAGCCTAATACTGTTTTAGATTTTATGATTGTACGATACTTATATTGTGTGTGTAATTTTATTTGACTACAGAGCGAAACAATCAAAAATTAATTAATAGCGTGATTCACACCGCGCTCTACCACCTACCGTCGAGTGATGTGCTGATAGCAGTCTCTACATACTAGGTGGACCTTGAATGACTTGGATCTCGAGCTGTGGCATCGACCTTGACCTGTCCCTAGCTCGCCAAGCTTCACGATACTCCATACTAGTTGAAAGATGCAAGCCGGGAGGGGGTTGCACGGATTGGGCATTGGGCAGTGCCGTACCTGACAGGCAGCAAGATGGAGGTCTATTGACATGGCTGCTTCCTTATTTGCCTGCCACATCAAACAGGAAAGACAAGCACGTCACGCTTACCCATGAGAGGCACGTGCAGTGAGGATTTGAGAGCCCAGCAAGCACACAACAAATGGAATTACCATCGCATTTCTTTCCAGGAATGGGTGTTTATGGCTGAGCACGGGTGCCGTCCTGTGATGTGACGAAGTTGGACACAAGGCCAACACTTGATGGCCGTGATTGCCCGTGACAGATGGTTGAGCTGGAGGAGGGGGCACCTTCTCTAGTGCCGGTTCTCGAGCAGCCAGGTGTGGAATACAAGCGTACCTAGGTAAAGGGCTTATATGCCAGACCCAAGTACTCCAATTCTGAGCACCCGCCTGCCAAAGCGCCTAGGTACCTAGGTACCATGAGAGCTTCCTTTACTTCCAAGGTTCGACAAGATGTTGCAAGCAGGCAGGCAAGCAGCTCTTTCTTCTTCTGTCTAGTCGTTGCGAGCAGCCAGGGCCCATTCGCCACGATTTCCTATTGGCTGTACTGTCCCCATTGTGTCAAACTATGTCAAGTGATTGGCTGACAGTTCTGAATGCCTGAGGCAGGCAAGTCTACCCACCTGAGGCAAAGCGCCATCTGGCCGCCCTCATTATTCATCACTCAGCGTCTCCCGCTGCACGTGTTCCACATCCTTCTCCGCCGCGTGACCCAGCCAGTCGACCAGCCGCCCGCCCACCCACCCACTCTTGCCTGTTCGCCAGACGAGCGAGACGAGCGAACGAGTGAGCGACCCAAACTCGAAGCACCACCCCGGCCGTGCCTTGCCTCGCCCTTCCTGAGCTGTCTCTGATCCTCTGGTCCCAGGCGCGACCTGCTCAACCTGGTCCTACTCGGATTCTCGCCTCTTATAAATAAAAACATAAGAATCTCTCATCTTAGAACTACCACTTCACTTCGAGTATTATCCCGTCGCCCGCATCAGTTCTTCGCATTTTATTTTGCCCTGCGGTACTGTTACGCTTTGTGTCTTTGTGCAATCAAGCTGCGGGTCTGCCGCGACTTACATTTTCGACGCCCGGTCGGCGCGATATCACGAGATTTTGACCAAAACACGTGAGTTGGAAAACCCGTGATCTGGCAGTCTCCAGAGCACATGATCTGCGAGGTATGTCTGTTCTATGCGCCTGCTCGTCCCTGTTCACAAAGTCGATTTGATGGTTTTCTTGGTGTTTTTGATGGAAATCTCGGTTCTCTGAGTCGTTTTGGCGAGGCAGACACGTTGCGAGGGAATTTTACTCACCGTCGCCACCATCCTCCTTGGCCATGGATTCCGTCTCATCGTCGCGCCAAATCGTCTAGTGACGACTTACATGCATCGTGAGATGACGGAGATGCGGCTGGTAACAGCTGCGACGTATTGACAATCGCTCGACGATGTGCAATGATGCGGATTGTTGTCCAATGTCGTCGCAACGCATCGTCACTGCGGTCGTGAGGAACAGGATGAGTGCGACTTCTTACCCGTCGCGATCCCATGACCTTTCTTTGCGTGACTACGTCTCATATGACACACCCTTCCTCTCAATACATACCGCGTTTGGCGCCAAAATAGGAGCGAACGACATGAACAATTCATTTCTGTCAAGCAAGCGCTTCATCCATCCATTTCCTTTTGTTTCTTCAGCGCTCTTCGATTCGAATAGCCCTGATTGCCCTTCGTCTCTCATCTCATCAAGAATTGACATGGAGCGAGGCGAAGGCTTGTTGTTGCCTATAGAATCGACAACGGAGATGGCCCTACTCATCATAGTCCAAATTGAGCTGTCTGCCTCCTCGTCATGTTGAACGCCATGATTCGTCTCTGCTTGGTGAACACATGCTAACATTTTCTTATGCAACAGTTCGGAGGCCCTTGACTCAAACAGCCCGCAACGCTGATTACCACAAGGGCCCAGGCCTTCAATCTACACCATCGTCGGCCTTTTCGACATCATGTCCGATTCGGTTGCTACTGAACCTGCTGATTTGTCCAGTCTCACCAGCTCTCCTGGCTCTAAGAGAAAGCGTGAACTGGACAGTCCCGGCTCCCAACGTGCTAAGCGCGCTGCTCCTCCTGCAGCCATGACAGCTGAAACCGCTGCCTTCATCGAGAATGCCATTGAGGCAACCCACGCCGCTGCGGCGAATGGCGTGAACGTCGCCGACTTCAATGCCTTGCAGCAGGCCGCGGCTGCTGACCACACCGATGCGTCTGATCCTGCGAATGCTACTAGCACGGCCCAGGCAGCACTTGGCATGTATCCTACTCTTCATGTCCCTCCTTCGACAGAGGAGCAGTTTGCGGCTCAGGTAGCCGCCGAGGGCGATCATCAGTCCGAAGCGGCATTCAATGCTGAAATTGCCCAGCCTGATATGATGGATCCCTCCGCAGTTACCCAGCAAACCCCGGCAAACGGAGGTCAGCCTCCGGCTCATCGATACTCTACATCATCGGCCCCGTCGAACCCCAAGCCTACTGTGGGCTCTGAGGAATGGCATAAGATGCGAAAGGACAATCACAAAGAAGGCAAGTGGTGCACCCTGGATATTCTTCTGAACGCTCAAGCTAGGTCTCTGGCTAACCATCTTCAAAGTTGAACGAAGACGGCGCGAGACTATCAATGAAGGCATCAATGAATTGGCCAAAATCGTTCCAGGCTGTGAGAAGAATAAGGGGTCAATTCTGCAGCGTGCGGTCAGCTTTATTACACAACTTCGGGAGAACGAAGAGCAGAATGTCGAAAAGTGGACTCTGCAGAAGCTTCTCACAGATCAGGCCATTACTGAGCTGAGTACTTGCAACACCAAGCTCAAGGAAGAATGCCAACGGGTGTTTAGAGAACTGGAGATTTGGAAGCGCGTGGCGCAGAATGCTGGCTTGGAGCCTCCTCAGCCAGAGGAGGAGTCAAGCCCATAAGCAATATTGAGTGACGAAACAAAGAAAGCAGCCAATTTAGTAGTGTTTAGCGTAAAGTAATCCTAGTTTAAGGAGAAGATGAATGACACAGCAATAGCGGGAATCGAATAAAGAACATATCTATTGATGTCTAATGTGAATACTCTGGACTTGAGATTCCAGTCACCCATAGGAACATCTCAGAGGAAATCCTCCCCCCTCACAGCTTGCATAGAAGGCCTAGACTCTGGGCAGATGCTTGGTAGCTGTCTCGTCTTGCAATGGCTGCTAGGGGCTGCTATTATTTGCTTCCCATTTCGTTGACTGACTGAGTACTGAAGTGGCCATACGTTTCGTGATCGGCGACGGCTCTCTAGCAACGGGCATCAAGACAACGATTAGACTTGGGCAGCAACAGTGATGTGAATCGACAATGAGCAAAGAAACGGGTCTTCTCAGCTTTTCTGGCAGTCTATACTCTATCCAGAGGCCATGTTAAGCTGCAAGCATGACGAGGTGCGTTTTGCCACGCCACCTTCCTAGACTTGAACGCTGTTATGCGACGATTTGGTGGCAACCACAACGACAGGAGCCAATTCCCTATATTTTGAGAATTCTCTTCTCGAGTAAGGTCTGTCACCAAGCTTTCAAGCTTTAGGCTCTCCTGGAAATACATTAAAAGGATCGCTGGATGACGTCCCACGAAAACGGCGGTAAATAGCCCATTACTTCGTTTCGGAGGACTTGGCGTGCCATTCACAGATGAGCCCATGTCCTAGTTTCTTTGGTCAAGTCTTTCTCGCGGCGACCCTGGACACATTTCAATTGGAATATTTGCTGTGCCTTTCGTGTCTTTACACATCCCTGGCGTCACCGACAGACACCCGATAGTATTCACGTTTAGTAGGCACGAAATAATTTCGTGATAGCATGGTCACGCGCGACTTTGGGTCTTTGCGAAGCGTCAAGGGAGACAATCAGACTGGGCTTTGTTTTCAGCCTTTGATGGCAAGCACAACGGGTGTTTTGGGTTTCTGTGCTTCGAGGCGTCATCTGAATTAGAAGCCTTGAAAGGTGTAAGGAGGACAGGATGGTGTAGGTTCAAATGGTTTCGTTGGGTCCGACTTGACTTGCACTTGTGCCGCGAGGGATTGAGTAAGTGAACAGAGGACAAGTTCAATCTGGTATTGGGGCCTCGCTAACCCCTTTTATGAGAGTAGATGGAAGGATGCGATGTCGATTAGAGAACGTCTAGACAACTTATAGAACGGGTGGTAGTTTAGGGAGTCTAGGTGAGGAGGATGTGGGTAGGGTTTTGTTTCCCTTTTCACAGGCTCCTTTCTACAATGGCGGTGGTACAATGCTGGCCGCCTTTTAAAATCTCGTAACAGGCTATGTGATGAAATGGTTCTTGAAAGTATCACAACAGACCAGGGGTAGATGCCGACTTGGAGTGGAACGAGACTCGCCGTTAGAGGAACATTGTCACTGTTTATAAATTGTCTAAAGCTGAAGAGTTTGTATGAAACAAGCGAGTTGTTTAGCTTGGGAACTTGATATATAAGTTCCAGGGTGATGTCGACAAAACGAGGTATTGGACTATATTTTGTCTTTTCTCATTTCGAGGGATATCTACTTGGAGAGGACCGGTGGCTTGGATAATTATCAGTATGTAGGACCATTAACCTTCTAGTTGATAATCACATATCACGGAGAGGATATAATTTTAGCGTCTGCAGCATTCCCTGTCTATCCTACTCCGTACTTGTAGGGTTCTTCCATGAACCATGTTGCCTATTTTCCGAAACGAGATCCTTGCTATGCATTACACCTGAAAAGAGTGTGCCTGTTCAACAATGTTTCCAAGGGCCGTCATGGAGAAAGCATGAACCAGGACGGGAGTTGACATGTATTTCGTGTTCCACAGCGACAAAGTGTGCTGATGGCCCAAAACGCCCGCCAACGCCAGATACATATACATGGCCAGCATTGCATCTCACAACAGTCCAGCAGGCGGGAATGAAGACGACGGCATGCGCATTCCACCCACTGCTAGAGTTTCCGCAGCTCATTGACTCAACACCACGCATCCGGGGCATGTGCGACTCGTCCATGGCCAAGAATGCTTCATACGCATGATGGGCATGGGGCTTGCCGGTCTGCCAGGCATGACAATTGCCCCGACTCCCCGGTTTTGCGCGTACGGGCGCAGTATAGTCTCAGATGAAAGACACGTGTCGTAGATTAAACTTTGAGACTGTACTCGCTACGGCGTACATTCGCAATCAACCACCATGTATCACGTATCATATATGACAAGAAGGCATCTGCCCTGCCAAAACACCATGCCAGCAAGGAGGGTATATGTCGTGCGCAGTGACATGCCGCGAATCCCGCCGTCTTTGTAGCGTGCGCCAGGCTGCATGCAACGGAACTCGGCAGAGGGGATGAATGGCTGCCAGTATCAAAATCGAGCCGAGACGAAATAGAGTTCAGACGCCCGCCCCTGGCAGAAGGCGGGCAAGGGCAAGGGCAATGGTCTGTCGGCATAGTCGACCCCAAAATCTGATCTGGCATGAGATCAAAAGATCGGACGTGTTGTAGCTGCGGCGTGAAACTCTGTCACATTTTGTCTTTTTTGGCAGAAGGCGGCTAGTATCTCTCCGTTGTCCGTTTTCGGCAAAAACCTACGCCTCCTCGGCGTCGATACTCGGTATTGCGATAGCTTGCTTGCTAGCCGGCTGCCCGTGTCCCAATCATGTCTCTGGGCGGATTCACCAAGAGCTGAATTATGTAGTTCTTGGTGACACTAGCTCGGTTGCCATTTTATCCAGGGCTCTTTCCGGCCAATCGCAAGTCGTCACCCTGTGTTGACACGCGCTAGTTCCACGCTGGACTTTAGCGGGGGAAGGACCGAGTTGGTTTCCGTTTCTCACAACGGCGCCAACTCCAACCAACTCGGGGCGTTTTCCTCCTCCCCTGGCAAGTCGATCAATGGCATCATGTATACTCCGTACCCGTACTCTCTGTGCCATGACTATTGCTTAGTGCCAGTGGCCGTGTCGTCGTCGCAAAGCCTGGCCGCCCGAGCAGACGCCTCGTGTGACTCGGTGGCTGTTCGACTATAGCCAGCTGCTGTCCAATTGCAATTGTACGCAGAGTGAGGCGCACAGAGTATACATACAAGCAATCTTCTCATGTGGCCCTCGACGGTTCTGATGATCCCTTTAGGCAAAAAGAAAGAAAGAAAAAGACATCGACTAGCCAAACTCAATCGGAGGCCGACTGCATATGTGTGCGCATTGCTCCGCACCCCCCCCGTTGCCTATCCCCTCTTTATTCCCCAGCGACACACCTCAGATGCTCCTCAGAGGCATGGAGATGCCGACGGGGGTGGCCCAAGGGCGATGGATAGTTGCACTGGCGATACGTGCCAAGACGAGTCCCGCGCTCCCGCCCGCAGCTGAATCGTTGCTGTGGATCGGCAGCAGAGGGATGTTGAAGGTTGAAGCCCGGTTACGTTTTTTGCGTGAGACGTGACGCATGGTATACACATATGGCGCGACTCGTGCCATGGTAAATTGTTGGTGACTACGTTGCGTTGTTGCACGGCATTTGCTGCCGAATGCGCAAATCCGCAACTTTGCAGAGAGAGAGAGGGAGAGCAAAAACCGCGGCAGAGCACGACTGCATTCTGTACTCCGTACATGCTCGGCAGATGCTCTACACTGTACGAAGTCGTCCGCCTGGCCGCGCGAGCCATGTGCGTCACTGGTGCCGCTCGATAGGCCCGGATCTTGTCCGGCCACGCTACACAGCAGGACAAGCTTTGATCCCGGTCGTATGGCAAATGCAGTCGTACATAATCCGTACATGACGTGTTGGTCGTACCGCGGGATTGTACGTACGGGTAGGAGTACGGTTGGGTTGCAGGCCGAGGGGGGTGTGTGGCATTGGTGTGTCGAATAGCACCAGATAGATGTAGGTACACGACATGGCATGCGACCGCGAGGCATGCCAAAAAAACAAACGAACAAGAAAGGGACAAAAAACCGCATGTGCATCTTTCGCGTATCACGACGTCTGAGCATGTCTGCCCTGCATGGGCGGAACCACCAGGCAACGCGGTTCGGATACGTCGTCTTGGTCCTTGTTCTTCCAAACAGGAAGTCATGTCCAGCCTTGCCACCGCACAGACTCAACGTCAACCATATATATGTACATCTGTACATACGGAGTACGGAGTACTGGTAGTATGTATGTACTCTGTATGTATGTATTTGCTCTGCTCAAGGGTGGGCCAGAAAGGTTCCGGCCGACACCAGGTCCAACCTCGATCCTTGAACCTTGCCCTCGGGGGCCAGGGGAGGCCAATGGAGATTGAATGTCTCGACTCTCGACCTGACCAACATGCTCTGTGTTGGGAGAGCAGCGGACCTTGGCTTTGGCCAGAAACGGGTTGCTCCCAGGTCCAGCATGGAAACCGGAGCTTTGAGGAACTATTGTCTTGCCTTGTTGGTTCGTCGTGTCTAAGCATTCGAGACACACAGCCCAACCGATGGTGTAGATAATCCCAAGTGTTGCTCCGCAGGCAGTTGTTTGGGCGAGCAATTCCAGGTCTACATATAGAAAGGTTCTGCACAGTCCGTCGCAAATCATGGCCCTGCGTCGACACCACGCGTCCATCAAAACGCCCCCCTCTCGCCACAGTGTCTCACCATTTTTTATGTCCTTGGGTCCTTTATACATGTTCCGTATCCGGCCAAAACGTAAGGAATCAACACCCCCGGCCGGAAAAGAAAAAGAAAAGACAAAAAAAAAAAGATCCTCCCAGATGGCCACGCTGCGCAGCAAATGCCCTCCCCATGCGCCTCCCCGTGCCTCCCCAATCGTATCCCAATGCCAATCGGCCAAGCGACCAAGACTGCATGCTTGCTTGAGGGTTCCAGACCGCCGGCGGCCCATCTTTGATCTGCGAGGCCCTCGCCGCCGCCGGGCGTCACAACCGCGGCGCATAGTCG